TACAAGTCAAATTCCATCGATACAAAAATTAGTGGCCAAACCTAACCAACTCAAAAGCCACTTTAAGAGTCTAGTCACATGCTAACTAACCCTAAAATTTACATGGTAGGGATCTTTGTATAACAGGTTCAATTCATATATTTTAAAAGTGGGCTTTTCTTGTGTGTGTGTGTGTGTGTGTGTGTATGTACACCCATGTGTGCACACTCAAGCATGACTGTACATCTAAACATGTTCAAAACTAATAGCAACACCAGAGGGTGTAGAAGTTCGTTCTCTATCACTCATGCCTCTAAAATGGAGCCAGCTTCCATTTTAATTAAATACTCTTGAAGGATTTTCCCCCAAGAACGAAAAGAGAGCTCTCTGTTTCCTCATGCTTCAAAAGCAAAATAATATTTATCACATCCTCCGCCCCCGCCCCACACATTATATACATACAAATCATGTCTTACTAAGGTTTTTGCCTTCAGGAAGGGTTGCCTTTAGTAATAGTAATTAATAGCAATAGTAATTTACAAACACATCACAGGTGCTACAAACGTATTATTGAAGATTACTTCAGGAAGTTACTTTGCCTTTGCTTAGCACAGCTAAGGAATGAAAATAGCCCCAGGATCGGAGGGTTTCAGAAGCAGCATCAAATTAAATGGACAGCCTTTCGCACAGGGAAATTGCACAATGCGTCGGAAACGAGAGAAGTGGGACTAGAAAGATGGCGCAGTGGTTGAGTCCGCCCTGCTCTTGCCAAGTGTCACCGGAACCTCTGAGCATGGTGTTATTGTCTGAATACAGTATCCCCAAAGTCCATCTGTTAAGAGTCTTGGTCCCAACTGGTCAGCATGACCCAATTGAGAGTTTCTGTGGGCCTTTACAAGGAGACAGGAGCCCAGTGTGGTGACACATGCCTTTAATCCCAGCACTTGGGAGGCAGAGGCAGGAGGATTCTGTAGGTTCAAGGCTAGCCTGGTCTACAGAGTGAGTTCCAGGACAGACAAAGACACACAGAGAAATCCTGTCTCGAAAACAAAAAGTCTGGGCAGTGGTGGTGCACACCTTTAATTCCAGCACTCAGGATGCAGAGACAGATGAATCTCTGTGAGTTTGAGGTCAGCCTGGTCAACAGAGAGAGTCCTAAGATAGGCCCCCAAAGCTACAGAGACACCATCTCAAAAAACAAACAAACAAACAAACAAACAAAGGTGGTGTGCATTAGGAGGTCTGTAGCTGGACCCGGAAAGGGCTCATTGAACTTGACAAGTCATCTCTCTAACTCCTGATCTCCACCCCAACCCCAGATCCCAAATGCTGGGATTACAGGCATGTGCCACCGTGCCCAGCTAAACTGTTTCTCAGTTAATAGCCTCAATAATGAAAAACTGATCGACCCATGATTAAATGCCTTCCATTAGATTTATCATGGTAACACTTCAGTAAGAACTTTTACAAGTCATGTGTCTGGTATCTCAAAAATAGGGTTATTTCTCTTGACTTCAAACCACAATAGTGACTATCTAAGGGGATATAGTTTAAGATTTAAGGGCATGAACCCTGCCATGACCTGAATTTGTATCCCAAGGATGTCATTTACTGGGCATGCAATCGTAAACTAAGCTTTTTGTACCTGGGTCTCTCTCCCATCCCTACCCAATGTGCTTTTCTAAACTGGGTTAGAACTGTGCTTGGCACACGGAAAATGCTATATAAGTATTTAACTGGATCATTTATAAGGTTTTAAAATTGCCTTCAACAGACACAAGTGCATGGCTTTCCCAGGTGCATGCATAGTTATCGGTTCTAGATCTTTCCAAAAGAGGAAAAAGTTTTCCAAGTATACCACAGAAACTAAAGATATGTGATCTCAAGTGGCCTCCCAGCACACTGAACAATGCCATGGCTCTTACTCAGCAGTGACAATTTCATGGGGGCTTTCAGTTGAGGCCATTTTCCTCATCTCTTACACACAATGGAGAAACCCAGCTTGTGCAAAGGCACGCATTGCAGCAAGACAAGAGTACACAGAGAAAGCCATCTTCTTTGTGGGTTTTGCAGTCAGGGATTATTTACCACCTACAAGTAGAAAATACTTGAAAACTTTTGTCTTTATTCAGTATGTATACTTCAGTCATTGTCCCTAAACAATATAGCACAGCAGATACTTATATAGTAATTGCAATATATTAGGTATTATAATCTAGAAGTAATTTAAAGTATATGGGAAGGCATGCATCGGGTATATGCAAGCCTCATACACTCTCTATTAGGGATTTGAGCATTCCTAGATTTTGGAATCTGTTGAGGCTCTGGAGTCAGTCCCTCAGGGATACCAAGAGACAACTGTAGAATTTATATTCCATGCCTATATTTTGTTTGTATATGGAACAGGCATGGAGGAAAGTCTCGCCAGCACTTTTCTTCCACTAAAGGAACATATTTCATTTTCTATGTTACAGTGACTTTTTTATTTTTTGGTTTTTACAAGACAGGGTTTCTCTGTGTAGCCCTGGCTGTCCTGAAACTCGGTCTGTAGATCAGATTGGCCTCTTACTCTGAGATCTGCCTGCCTCTGCCTTCTGAGGGCTTGGATTAAAGGTGTGCATCAATGCACTTGGCTCTCGGTGATTTATATAAGCCCTAAAGGTTACACTAAACCTCTCAGTTAAGATGGGGGTACCTAAGCATCTCTGTGAACAGAATTAACACCAACATACATTCAGAAAAACATCTTTAACTTCAGGGTAGCTTTAGCTTTCCCTTCAAAAAGAAACTAACTTATCACAATAAATGAACATAGTTGTCAGGAAGCATTTGGAGACCACAGGAGGTCTATGCTTTGTGTGGCGGTGCGCACCTGTAATCCCAGCACTTGGGACACAGAGGCAGGAGAATGAGGGGTTCAAGGTGAATCATCAGCTATAGAATGAATTGATGATCAACCTGGGCTACTTAAGATCTAACTTCAGAAAATGGGATTTTGGAGAAGAGGAAGCACAGCAGCAGCATCCACTAAACTCTGAAGCTCTCATTTCCTCCTCCACAGTGGAAGGCAACCTGGAAAGCTTCTCATACACCAGGGTGGGGCGCTCAGTGGCTGCTACAAGATCTCTAGTTACTGGAGCCAAAAAGATGGGGCAGACTTATGGAAATAGCTTCTCTAACTGTAAGCCGAAATAGTTTTCACACAGAAGCCCCGAGGCTGATGACACAGCGAGAAGAAAGATCTGGGCTTAAGTTTTTCTAAATGTGCTAGACATAAGTTCCATTCCTAATGAGGAAAAAAAAAATAGATGAAAACAGGGCCTTTGTTCATTCTCTTAAAAAACGAAAAAGAAAACAATAAACACTCCAAACTACTCAGACACTAAGCTCAAATCAAGTTTCCTGGAAACCAATAAAGATAAAATTTTGAGTTAATCTTTCTCAAGCATAGATTCACATGAAGGTTCCAAGACGACTTTCCCTAAGACTTGAATCGTTCATGCCCAATCTCTACAAATTCTTTCCTCTGCGTTGTCAAGCTGCCTTACCCCGATGTTTTGGAAAGTTGCTAGCTCTAGATTTTAATTCAAGGAAAGCTCTGATAACTTCACTGACGTTTCCGTCACCTGCTGTTTAAAGCCTTTAAATTACTGTTGCTATTCAAGCTGTGATCCCCAAAGCTAGGCATTGGTGACCTGGTCACCGTGAGGCCCCACTCGCGCCTCTAATATTTCTTCATAGCTTCGTTCTGTCCACCATAGCACAAAGGCCTCACCATGGAGCACAAGGAACAGTTGGTTCTGTTATTTCAGTGCCTGTTGCCTTAAAACTTTTATTGCTCTCGACAGCTTGGGTGACAAAAGGCTTTTGTAGGCTTGGGTCTAAAACCTTCATTTCACTGGTAACCCAGACAGTGCTGGCACCTGACTACAAAGGCAGGGCTGTTCTCCCCAGTTCAAGACAATTTTCTCACCAATATTCTACTAACATGTATCAGCAAACATTTAAACAGGGAAATGACCCGTCTTAAAGGTCTTGCTTTGTTGTAAAAGACAGGGTCTACATAGCTCCTGCCAGCCTGGAACTTCCAGGCTTGTCTGGAACTCAAGAGTTCTGGGTCGGCCTCAAGTGCTGGGATTAAAGGCATTTTAAAGATGTTTTGATCCATCAGTCAAAAAAAAAGAAAATAAGAAAAAAACTCATCAACAAGATTCTACAACTTTACAACTTAATCTGTAAAGCCCCCCTAACTAGACTAGATTCAATCCACAAAAGACAAAACAGTACGTAAACATTTTCCTGGTAAAAGGAACATAAACATTAATATTTAGCAACTTTTTCAACTGTGGATGGTTCTAATCATAAGCTCTCTAGCCACAGGCAATGGTTGAACATAAAGTATTAGTAAATATCCACTTTAAGGGAAGGCCAGCAGAACAGCTCTTTCTAGCATTTTCCTGAGCTCCCTCTCCATTTCAAACGCTGTCAGGCTATGACTTCATCCATCCCATCACCTCTCTCCTACATGTCAGTATGACATTTTAAATAGAATTGCTATAAGTAGGATTGACCAGCCTTAACATACCTGACACTGGATGAAAGTGTGAGGAAAGTTGTTACAAAACAAAGTGGCCTCGAGCATTGGTTAGTCTACCTTAATTTGAGTAGGATATTATTTTTTTAAAAGGGTCTCATGTGGCCAGGGTAGCCTTACACTATGTATCCAAGGATGATCTTGAACTTTTGATCCTCCCACCACTACCCTGAATGCTGGGACTAGAGGCATGCATGTACCACTTATAGGATGCTTGGAGATCAAATCCATGGCTTCTGCATGCTAGGCAAATGCTCTACCAAGCTACACCCCAGCTCTGGCAAAGCTGTTTGGTCCATCAGCAGAGCCCCAGCCTTCCACCATTCCTGTGACTCAAGTCAGATCTTCCTTCTTTGTGAGCATGTACGACCTAACTCCAGCCATATACTTCTAGCAAAGGCTTAAAACAAAGACCACGCGACAGGCATTTTTAATTTTAAAGAATTTTAATACAAACTTAATATAAACTATTTCAGTCCCTCTTAACATGTAAGACACTGACTCAAAATACTTTTATACCGTTTTTCAAGTATTGCACAATATAGGTACAAAATTAATATTTACGATTACATTTTCTTCCATAATATATAGCAAAAATCTTTAAACCTTTAACAGAAAATACATTTTTTTGAAAAAGCAAATATTCGTACATTTTAATTCCACCACTAAAGGAATATCCTGTACACAATTTCAGAATAGTTGATGTCTTTAAGATGGATATTTTACAATTTCAGTAAAAAAAATACAACATGAAGCTGCTGTCACAGATCACTGTAGTAAAAAGATAGAAATGCAATACCGTGTCATAGAAACAATATATATATCCTCTGATATTTTACAAACTTTGTACTAAATTAAATTATACAATTAGAAAAGACCAATAAACCCACTTATTAGTGCCAATTTTTTATATAAAAAAATCAGCCATGTCCTTGCTATATCTTAAATACTGTAAGAGGCAATATCTGAGAGTATACTTTAAAATATACAGTCAGTATAAAATAACTTTGTGCTTGGTTGGCAAATGAAAAATGATGCATGTTTTATTTTGTAACCAAGCTTGAATGTATCCTTACTATAAGCTTTAAAAAAAAAATCTCAAGGAGGCAAAAAAAAAAAAAAAAAAAATTTCCCCCTTGGGCCGATGCGTTTTAACTTGTACGATACATGTTCTCTCTTCTTTTTTTTTTTTTTTTTTTTAGTTAGCCATAACAGGCTGGAATTGCTGGTTAGAATACTGCATGTTATTTAAGCTAAAATTCAAGCCATCTACGAAAGACTTCTCGTTGAGCCCTCCATAGGCCGCAAACACATCAAAGGCATTACTGTACTGGAGAGGACTGAGGTTAAGGGGGCTGTCACCTGGGAACATTCCATTGGTACTACTACCTTGACCCTGCATATTAGGAAAAATAAATTCCTTGGCATTGGGGGAAAGAGCAGAGGTTTGCTGCTGCTGCTGTGGAGGTGGGGGTGGAGGTGGCGGCTGGGATGGCTGCTGTTGCGGTGGCTGCGGTGGCTGCTGCTGCTGGTTGCCCAGGCCCAGCCCATACAGAGAGTGCATGGAGGAAGAGATGGCTTTCTGTTTCAGGAGCTCGTTCACATTCAGGCCGAGGTTGATCGGAGAAGTGCGTGCTACCTTGCTGCTACGCCCGCTATTCTTCATTTTGGTAGAGCCGAACTTGGTGGCAGCAAAAGTGGCAGTGGTAAAGGTTAAAGGCTGAGTGGACCGGGGCATGAAGGTAGGGCTGACAGCCGCAGAGTGACCGAAGGGAGGCGAGGGCGAGCTGGACACTGAGGAGGCAGGGTCACTTATGGGCATGAAAACCTGGGCCTCTGGGTTAAAGCTGTTTTTGATCTCCTTGTCCAGCTCACATCCATTTTCACTACTGTCATCCACGTAGAGCACCTTCACTGGTCCCTTCTCACCAATCTGGTAGGACACCTCAAACGGGTCGATCCAAACGCTAAGATCCTGTGGCAGATTGCCACGAACATCATCGATGTCCAAACCGCTCTCTTTGGACGCTTGTTCAATCACTGGGTCCACTTTCTCCCCTACATGTATACATCTAAACCCTGATCCTTTGTATGGCTTTTCCGGATACCAATGCCCTTCATACTTCTTCTTAAGAAGTCTTTCAAGCTCTTCACCAAAAATGTTGACACGTCTCCTGGGAAGCTTATTGTACAAGTACGAAATAATAAAATTTAGTGCTACTTGGATTTCAAGCTGCATAGCTGCGTTGCCACAAAAGTTAGGTTTGTTTCAACTCCTCCACCAGAAAAATAAAATTTTTAAAAATCAGTTTGTGGCAGAGAAACAAATTCTCATTCAAAGTGCTGGTATTAGATTATTCTTCAACCTTTCGTGATCTTGTTCCTTTAAGAAAACAAAACAAAAGCAAACACATCCAAATAAGATTAATGTAGTCGCTCCAAAGCTTTTTACCCAAAGCAATTTCACTTTTGAAAATGTCTACTAGGCTAGAAAGCCTGGAAATTACCGCTACAAAATGAAGGAACAGACAGTTAAAAAAAAATCACTAAGATTCGTTAACAGATTTACAGGTAAAACAGCATTTTGATCTATTACATACCGTTCCCCAGCAGAACATAAGGCAACTCCAGATTATGTATCCTTTCTTGCCCTCAAACGCCAGTGTTTACTAGGAGCTGTATACTGAATTCACCCACCCACATACACACTCCACTTTTAGAAGTTGGTCATTAGTTTCCTTGCTGTTCACCATTTTAGAAATGACTCTTGTATCTTAGTTCATTTTGGAAACTACATTTAAATCTGTTCTGTTAAAGATTTGGGAATGTTATAAATTACAAAAATTATTTCCAATTTTCAAAGTACACGATGCTAAAATTAAAGGTACTAAATGAACTGTCACCTTGGTAAAGGATAGAAACCAAATTATCTCCTATAGTTTTAACCATGCCAAGGGCACGCACATAACTGCTCTTCCTAGAGCCTTTTTCTTTTTATTGTGTACTGTCCCCCTACACCCCCAATTCTGAAATTCCTCTCAGCTGCAAGAATAAGAAAAACAAGCTGCTTAAAACTGCTATTGATCTGTTGAAAGGGCAGGGTTTCTCAGTTTTATTCTAACTTAAACAAAAACAAACAAAACTTCTTTCCTCTCCGGATAAAACAACAGCCCCTAGAGAGGCTCGAACGGTAAGGTCGACCTTTAAACGTTTGCTGGGTCAGCACTGGGTGGGGATAAGAAAAGATCAAGGACAAACAGAGGTATTTCCAAGGGAGAGCTATTTGTACACCGAGGTTGATCAAAAAGGGCATTTAAAACGATCAAGCTGGTGTTAATCTGTCTGTTCCATTTTCCATACTCTTGATGACAAAGGGCAAAGAATCTTTCGTGTGGCCCCCAAACTACACTTTTCAAGCCGAAAGCCGAGCGCCGACAGGGAGAGCAGATTCGGCTGGATTGCTTAAAGGTGCAGGCGAGCCCAGCCAGGCTTGGGTGGAAGGTAGTTTTTAAAGCAACGCCTTAAGACAGGACTGTGAAGAATTACATAAACAGCCAGTTGGGTCTCATTAGATTTCTGCTCACAGCGCCGGGAGCCCGAGCGCTACGGCAGCAGAAACAGCCAGAGGAGGTGGAGGAGGAGAGGAGGAAGACTACTAGCCTTGCTCGGGGAGGAACAGCTCGGCCCCGGGAAATGGAGAGGAGGCTCTCCGGCGGCCGCCCCGGGGACGCGGCCCCCGGCACCGGCAGGTCTCGGCGCGGGCCGCCCTGCCCTCCCCTCCCCCGCCGTAACCTTACTCCGGCCGCACCGCCCGGGCTCCCGGCGC